AAAAGAGAATAAACTTTATAAACAAGTGGGCTTCATTTCCTCATCTCCAAAATGGGTGGATGAGGGGCAGCTGCGGGACTCAGTGGAGCATGTGACTCTTGATCTTGGGGTCGTGAGTTTGAGCCCCACATTGGGCGTAGAGCTTCCTTAAAAAATAATAACAAATAAATTAAAATTAAACTAAACAAAATAGATGAATGAGCTTAAAGCCCTGTGATGACCTGAGTCTCCAGGATCCCATATTAAGGCTTCTGAAAAGTACCATCCTCTTTTTTTTCAAAACTCTGCTGATGATGACCCTGGCCCTACGCCCTCTTCAGCACTCAATCCCACCACCCCTCGTTTGCCACCCACCCCACCCCCTGGAACTGTTTGCCCCACCTTTTCTTCTCACATTTTGCACATGCTGTTTCTGTGCCCCAGCAACCTTTTCTCTCTTCTGCCTGTCTAACTCCTGGCCCTTCACAGGCCAGCTTAGATATTACGTCCTCCTGCCCCCAACCCCAGGCAAGCCCAAGCACCCTCAATGCCTAGCTCTCTTGATAGCGTTTATTAGCTGGTTTCTTGTCCTGGTTAACTAGAAACAGAGACCCCCATGCACATAGCCCAGAACTGCCAAAGTAGTCCAGAATTAACATCTAAGGAATTAACAAGTCAAAGAATAAATGCATCTACCCATTTTAGTGTAAAATTGTCCAAAGGAAGCAGTTGCTATAAACCCCCCACCCAGCTTGTGACTTTAGACTAAAAATAGGTATAGGGACACCAGGCTCCTCTAATTCCCTAATATAAATTTTAATTTTTAATAACTTGAGAAATCAGTGAACTATACCTATGGGAAAATGATGAGGAGTCAGCCACATAAATTAATGGAAAGTATGTGTTCACATTATCTAACTATATTAAGTGTGAATAATAATTAATTATAGATTCTACATGCGGTCTTGTCTTAGAGACTCAATGTGAAGGAATTTAAAAAGTCATTCATCACTGCACCCCCCCCCCCCCGCCCCGTGCTCCACCCCAGGCCATAACATAAAAAGCAATGGCCAAAGAATTTTCCATAATTTATGAAAATCATCATCTTAGAGGAAAAATAACTCTCATTAGCAGCATAATAACTTGGAAAAAGAAGCTGTGCCCAAGTGTGTTTGCTAATGCTCTTGTAATCATTTGGCCCACCCTCCCCTCTCTCCCCTGCATTTATTAATTCTTCCATTCATTCACTGTCTCTGTGGTATATGGAGAGGGGGACTGCTGGTGGATGTGAACGTGAACTCTAGAGCCAGATTGTCTGAGTTCAAAACCAAACTCCTCTACTTTGCAGCTGTGTGGCCTTGGGCAAGTCACTGAACCTCTCTGTGCCTCAGTTTCCCTGTCTGTAAAATGGAGGTAATAACAGTACCTACTGATAGGGTTGGTGTTGATGGGGAGGGGGTGAATAAACATACAGGGGACGTGCTTAGCATAGAGCCTAGGCACTCATTAAATGAGAACTCTAGCTGTGGGCCTGGTGTGCTGGGCACCCCTTAAGAAGGACCAAGCTTCTGTCCTTGAAGAGTTTGCTGACTGGTGAGAGAAAGAGTCTATAAATAAGCAAGTTCTCTTCAAATCACAACCTCGCGTGTTAACATATGGACATGAGTAAGGTCTGTGATACGGAGAGATGGGGCTTCTTAGGTCGGGGGGGGGTGCAGACCACTTCTCTGAGGAGGTGATGTTTTGCTCAAGAGGTGAAGGGTAAGAAGGAGCTGGTGACGTGAAGAGGAGGGGGCAGACTGTTCCGGTTATTGTGGGTAGAGCTTGTATGCTCCATCCCCAGGGGTGATGTGTCCTTCCCCGGTGATGAAGGATCTAGAAAAGTCCCTAGACAGTGGGACAGACTTGATAGGTGTGATGGGAAGGAGGTGCGTGAGGCGGTGGGGAAGGACAGATCCTTAGTGTGCAGAAAGCTGGCCTGCTCTCCGGAGCCTGACCTGCCTCGCCACCACCCCCCCAAACAGGCAAACAGGTTAAAGGCATAAAGTTAACACCCTATAGGGAATAGAAGAAAATCGGGGGACCCTAGATTTTTGATTGGGAGGCGGTGTTGGAAAAGCCTTCCCAGCCAAGACCAAAAAGGCACAAACCATGGGGCCAAACATGGCTAGATTGGACTCCATCGAAATTAGGGGTTTCTGTCCGGCACAGGAGAGCAGAGACAAAGGGGGCAGGCAGATGCCGAAGCTTGAGACCAGGGAGCTCCCAGAGGCAGAGGGTCAAATGGCCACAGCTCATGAAGAGATGTGCGCATGAACTAACATCCGAGATATGCAAGGGAAAACTCCACATGGAAGCCGCCTCTGCCACCTCGGAAGGGCGGAACTTAAGCAGGAGACACCAAGGATGCAGGGACAAGAGAGGAAGGCTTGGGGCGCCTGGGTGGCTCAGTTGGTTAAGCGACTGCCTTCAGCTCAGGTCATGATCCTGGAGTCCCGAGATCGAGTCCCGCATCGGGCTCCCTGCTCGGCGGGGAGTCTGCTTCTCCCTCTGACCCTCCCCCGTCTCAAGTGCTCTCTCTTATTCTCTCTCTCTCAAATAAATAAATAAAATCTTTAAAAAAAAAAAAAAAGAGAAAGAGGAAGGCTTGCTGGGGCCGGGGGCCCTGCCCTTGGGGGCTGTTCCCAGCAACGCTGAGGACGTGGCACGGCGGCCCTGAGTGGAGGGGCCGAGGGCATCCTGAAAGCCAGGCTCTCCCTGACAACGTCAAGCCCCTGGCCTAGGGCTGGTTATGCCGAAGGAAGGGGAGCCCCCAACGCCCCCATTCACACAAATCACCACGTGCCTGCTAGCCAGGAGGGGGTGCCTTTGCTAGTTCTCACAGAGGTGCCATTGGGGCCGGTAAAAGTGGAAAGACAAGGGAACAGAAGCAAAAGTAAAACCCTCCCTGTCTCCTTCAAGGACCTGGGAGCCATTTCTTTGCTCCTCTGAGCACCCCTGGCACACTCCCCACTCCACTTGGGAAATCATGAGCAGCTAGAAGGTGGAAAATCACTTATTTGTCATCTCTCTCTCTACCGATCACCAACAGCAGGCCCTAATAAAAGCCGCTGAATTGGTTTCCTATTATCTGGCAGTTCAGAGTGGCATGACACCACCCTACATTAATAAATGTGTCAATTGCAATGAAGGGGAAAGTGGTGTGACCTCAGAATCAAGATTTTAGGTTTCTGGTCTCCTTCCTATCACCAACCTGATGGGTTAACTTACGAAAAGGAGTTTTCCTCTCGGGGGTCTCAGTTTCCCAGGAGTGGCTCCTCGGTGGAAGACATGGGCTGGATTTCCCTCCAACGATTTCCCTTTCCTCCTGGCTCAGTTTGCCTGCATTTCCTTTAAAGTTAGGTGCTGCCAAACTATTGGGTTCTGGCCGATGGAATGTGGATGGAAGTGGTATATTTCTTTTTTTTTTTTTTTTAAGATTTTATTTATTTATTTGACAGAGAGAGACACAGCAAGAGAGGGAACACAGGCAGGGGGAGTGGGACAGGGAGAAGCAGGCTCCCGGGGCTCGATTCCAGGAGCCTGGGATCATGACCTGAGCCAAAGGCAGACGCTTAACGACTGAGCCACCTTGGCACCCCAGAAGTGGTATATTTCACTCCCAGGTCTGATCCACGAAAACCTCCCCGTGTGATTTCCTATGTTCTTACTCTATGTGCTGGTGGGTTGCAGGAGATCCCACAGAGCCCCGGTTGAGAAGGAGACCAGGTCCCCAAGTCACCTCTTGTAGGAGAAACACCCAGAAAAGTTTTATAACCAGAAACACCCTCGCTGGACAGTTGAATGAGCAAAATTAAGCATTTATTGTGTTTTTGACATTGACACTTGGGGTTGTTTGTTACACCCGGTGTCCTCCTGACTTACCCATTTCCTTTTGACCCAAGCCAGACGACACTTGAGAATGCCTTAATTTGTATGATGCTCCTCCATTTTTCCAATCGATGTTTTGCAATCCAACTCTTTATCCTATTCAAAAGTAGCTAAATAGACTGACATAGCGGCTGAGTATCGAAAAAGATGCAGAGTCCTCCCCGCATCTACTTCCTACAAGCCACTTATCCTGGAACCAAAGGGGTGTCTGGAAAGAGCAAGACTGCTGGTACCTCTTCCCCGAAAATGCATTCATCATCCCCCCTTGTTCCCAGGATGAAGCCCAAGAGCTCATGCCTGCGAGGCCCTATAAGAACCAGCCCCTGTTTATTCTCCCACTGCCTGTCCCACGTTTCAGGGAGCACACCAGGGAGCCTTTCCACTTTCCCCTCGGGGGTCTCGGCGTCCTGACCACCCCCCTTCCGTCCTATCCAGTCCTATCTGTGCACTTGCTTTCATTCACAGCCTCCTTCCAGGTTGTAAGTCCTGGTTCGTTTTGAGTCTCTCCCCCTGAATGTCAGTCCCCCCCCCCCCCCCCGCCATGGAAGGACCAAGCCTGCCTGGCTTTTTGCGGGATCCCCACACCCACCACCAGCCCTGCCTCGCTGACAGTCCTCGTGAACAGATGTGGGTGGAGCAAACGCATCAACCAATCGATGAACAAACAATGAGGGGAACCAACAGGCTTGCATCGTTGGAGAAGACGTCTCGTCCAGCGTTCTTCTGGGGAGACACTGGTAGTTCTTGGAAGGTATAACTTCTCCCAAAGAATGAAAAAGTCATCTTTTGATGCATTCGTTCCCTGTGAATCTGCAAAGCCATGGCTCGTCCACAGAGAGAGATCCCATGAAGGGGCACCAGGGTCGGCCACCTAATTCTGCATCTTTTTTTTTTTTTTTTAAAGCTCTTATTTATTTATTTGACAGAGAGAGAGCGAGAGAGCACAAGCAGTGGGGAGGGACAGAGGGAGAAGCAGACTCCCCGCTGAGCAGGGAGCCCGAGATCATGACCTGAGCTGAAGGCAGGTGCTTAACCGACTGAGCCACCCAGGCGTCCCTAATTCTGCATCTTTTATTTATTTTTTTTATAAGTAATCTCTCCACCCGACGCAGACCTCGAACTCACGACCCCGACATCAAGAGTCACACGCTCCACCGAGCGAGCCAGGCAGGCGCCCGTAATTTGGGATCTTGCTCCGGACGCCGAGACTGTATTAAGATGAAAAATAAAGCCCGAGGTGCCAGGCTGGAAGGTACGATTAGTGTTTCTAGTGTTTCCGCGGCACAGTCGGGAGGGGAGATCTCTCGCCGCGAGGCTCGCCTTTTCATAGACGCAAACTCATCTCCATGGCAGTTGTTTTCTCTGCCATTTCCCTTGAATCACTCGTTTGTGTTTCTTGATTTCCACACGACGATGGCCTTGTTGGGCCCTGTTAGAAACAAGACAAATGCTCCAACAACACAGTCTTCTGGCAACCAGTTTCCCTCTGGCTAATTACAACGACATGCACGAGGTGCCCCTTCAGGTGGAGGAAACGGAGCGGCCTGACGGTTAATTTAAATAACAAACAGTGTTCGCTCGGCCAGCTGCTGATGGCCCCCGACCCCTCAGCGGTTCCCCATCAGCAAATGGACCTGTTCCTTCAGCCTAGCAAGGTTATAAAAGGCCAGGCCAAGAGCCCCCACCCCTCGGCACTCCCCAGAATGCCAGTACGGTTGGGCGAGGAGCGCCCAAGACAAAAGCCTGCAGGGCCAGACCCTCTGTGCCCTCCCTGAGGTCTGCCAGCCCTGGTTTCATCCCTTTTCGCCCCTAAGAAAGGAAACCTGTGTGCCCTGACCTATCACTGCTGTTCGGTTAATGATTGGCATAAATATTACTTTCCAATGACACGGAATTTGAATTTCCCCCCCAAAGCATTTGCTCGGTTATTTTGCTCCTGTCCTTACAAATCATCCCTATCCATTTGTCTGCGATTTCATCTGAGTCACTGTCTGGGCTAGTGGGGGGTGGGGGGTGGGGGTGGGAGATGTGCACGTGTCCTTCTTCCAGACATTGGGAAGCAGATCCAGCCCGGAGGGGCCGGGCCCAGCTAGACAGAGCACGAATCATAGGTTGTTGGTGCTGGACGAGCCTTAGTAGTGGCAGGGAAACTGAGGCCGGGAGAGGGGCAGCATGGCACTGCATTGGGGTAGAGCCAGGTTTGGGCCTGCAGTTACTCCTTACTCCTCCAGGGCTCCACACTGCATCCCAGCCATCCCCCAGGGCAGGAAGAGAAGGCCAGACGTAGGCCAGCTCCCTCTCTGCCCATGAGCTGCCAGTCCTGTTGGGCTCCTCAGCTCCATTCCTAGTGTTCCCTCCCCACCTGGCCTTGTGGTGGGGGGCATCTGGTCGACCCAGCTTTCCTTCCCTAGTCCCCGTGGTCCTTGTCTTCAGGGAGCTGCCCCTTCCTCGCTTGATGTGGCTCGGGTAGGGCATCCCCAGATGTTAGGGTTTGATTGGTCTGGGGTATGGCTTGGGCATCAGGATTTTTTAAGAATGCTTCAAGTGGTTCTAGAAGGTATCCAAGTTTGAAAACCACTGCTTCCTCCCCTGACCCAGGGATGGGCAGATGGACCAAAGCGGGCCAATCAGCATCCCTCCCTGGGATTGCACTGCAGGTATAAGAAGGTCTTTCTTTAAAGGCTGTTAGCAGGAATGTCAGCCTGTCTGTGCTCAGCCCCTAGCCACCCTCTGTGGTTGCTCCTCTCCTCGCACGGGCTTTCCAGCCCCTCGGGACCACAGGTAGCACCACTGGGCGGCAAACTGGACGTGCATCTCTGCAGATGGTCTCTCTTTCTCTTGGAAGGGCTTCTTTCTCATGAAGTCCTACTTAACCCAGAAGAAGCAAGTACTCCTGATTTGTTCTGGGAGACCATCCTGGCTCCCGCTTGGATTGGGTCTGGTGCTGCTCTCTTGGACTGCCACAGTCCTGTGTGCTCTACTGAGGACCTCCGCGCTGGACGGTCATCGTCTGTCCACACCCATGTTCCTGCCAGACTGGGGGCTTCTCTGAGGCAGGGGCTGTGTCCTGCTCCAGTCCACCCCCCGCCAAGGCGGGTCCGATGAATCTCTGTTTGGTGAGTCATATTTAGTTCTCAGAAGCATGGGGTAATCACCTAGCCACGGGGCTGGGGCTCATCCTGTTTCTCAGTGTTTCTGAGAGGGAGGGGAAGATGCGAATGGCAGAGAAAGGGGGTGTCACAAAACAGTGGGGGGAGACAGGGAGGCGGAGGAAGAGGTGGAGGGAGGGGGAGGGGGGAGAGTGAGGGAGATGGAGAGAGAGGGAGAGAGGTGGAGGGAGAGGGAAGAGGGAGGAAGAAGGAGGGGGGTGGGGAGGGAGGGGGAGAGAGAGTGGGGGGGAGGGGGGGGAGGGAGAGGGCAAGGGAGAGGAGGGACAGGGAGAGAGGGAGAAGGGGAGGACACAGTCCTTCCCAACTCTTCCGTTCCTTCACCTGACAGACATTTTCTCAGCTCCTACTCCGGGGCATACAGAGAAAATTTCCCAGCGATGAACTAAAGAGCAGATGATTAAAATAAAACCATCACTCACGTGGTCCTTTGGAAAAAAGAGTAGGGGATTCGCAGAGCCCAGCCTTTGTGGGAAGTGTTTTGATTCTTGGCTCTGCAGGGCAGGCCAAGCTACTGCCTGGTCACAAGAAAGTCACCTTCGATGCGAGAAATAGGGGACCCAGAGTTGCCTCCTGACACTTTGATGGGCTCTAGGATCACAGGTGTTACTTTTCCTCCCCAAGAAGTTTCCAAAGTGTGCAGCTACCTTACAACCAACCTCACGGCACTGTCTCCCCGTGGCCCCAACCCCAGGAGGTCCTTTGGTCTGTAGCCTGAAAGGTCACCAGAAGGGGCCATGAAAAATTGCATTTTATAAACCTGCCATTTGATAAGAACTGTGTTTATAAAGCTACAAAACAAAAGGAATCAATGAACAGGAACACCGTATGGGGTTGTTTTGGTGACGATCAGAAATCCAACTCAACCTAGCTTAAGCGAGCAAGGTCATTTATTGATTCACTGTCTTGGGAATGTGTGTGGCTAAGAAATAATACAAACTGTCTCAGGTTGGAGTAAGGAAAAGGTGTCATGTGTCTCACAGAATGCTCAGAGGTGGGAAGTCCCAGGGCGGGGAGAAGGCTCAGCACTGCCCTCCGCTGGGCCGCAAGGTGGCTGGAAATCCCTAGCCCCCACCCACCAGGGGGGAAAATACAAAAACAGAAAAGAAGAAAGGAAGGAGGTCCACCAGCAGAGTTCTGATGGTATCTATCAGTTCTCTATTGCTCTGCGGCAAATTGCCCCAAAATGAAGTGGCTGAAAGTAACAACCACACCCGTTCATGAAGCTCTGGGGCAGCTCAGAAGTTCCGATCCCAGCCAGGTTCGGTGGATCTCAGTGGGGCCTGGTCACCGTCTTAGACTCCAGTCAGTGTGGTCCTAGGAGGGCCACCTTCCAGGGATATAGGGAGCGTGCTGAGGAATAAAATAAGATTCTGTGAGCAAATAAGTTTGGGAGGAACATGTATGGTGTGCCAGCGTTTCAGGGTCTGGGAGCACATCCAAAACCAAACCCCAAACAGACAGAAACCCCGCTTGGGGCTTATAGTCTAGTAAGAAGGTTGCAGAGTTTTCTTTTCTGCAGGATTTCTCAGAGCCTTTAATATATTAACAGGCATCACCCAAAGCGGGTAAGACATACAGCGTTTCCCAGAGTTATTGGACCTCCGGAATAAGAACTGATGTTCTTTGAAGTAGACTTTGAGAAACACCACTAACTCCGTTCAACCTCCTGTTGTACAGATGCGGAAGTTGAGGTCATATTCAAGGTCACCCAGGCAGAGCAAGCATAGGACCCGTGGTCACCTGACACGCTGCACAGGGCTCTTCCACAGCCTTTCCCCTTGATCTCGAAGATCCTTCCTCCCTCCCTCCTTCCTTCTCTTTCTTGCAAACCTGGCTTCAGAGCGCCAAGATTTGGGAGGCTGAAATGAACTCAGACACTTGGGATCAAGGGAGCTGGGAGCTGGGAGCTCCCATGCTCTCCACGGGGCCTCCTGGGCCCAAGTCGTGCGCAGACGTCACACCTCCGACCACGTCAGTCACGTTCCCTGACCTCTCCCTGAGCTCAGCCCTGCTGATGTGAGCAGCTGGACCCTTGGGGGTCCCTTGGGGAAAGAGGCAAACTGGGACATGGGAAGACAAATGAGATGATGAGGGGGAAGGCCATCCTACAAAAGTATGGCCCACAAGCTTGCGGCTTGGGGAAGCTGCCTGCTTTCTTGATCAGACTGTCCTCCGTGGACGTCCTTGGGTGCTCTGATGGCCCCCAAGCTATTCCCTGAAGTATGGGGACCATGCAGAGGGGACAGAATCTGGTAAGTTCTTTCCGTGTCCAGGATGTTGTTCATGCAGGAACCAGGGCAGTGGGTGAACACAGAGGGGGAAACTTGGTACGCAGACATAAAATCACATACAAGATGTCATCGAGTGAGGGCATCACTTGGTGGAGTTGGGACTAAAGCCCAGGTCGCCCTGTCCTTTCAAGACACCCATGCTCTACTTTTTTTTAAATTTAATTAATTTATAGCTCCAGAGCCGGGGGAAGGGGCAGAGGGAGAGGGAGAGAGAGAATCCTCAAACTGACTCCTCACTTAGCGCAGAGCCTGACACGGGGCTCGATCCCACAACCCCAAGATGATGACCCGAGCCGAAATCAAGAGCCAGAGGCACAAGTGACTCAGCCCCCCAAGCGCCCCTCAAAATGCCCACGCTCTTAACTAAGAAGTGAACTGTCTTCAGGAGACGGGAAGTAGGAATGAGGATTCCAACTCTGAGAACCTCAGATGTTTCGGAGAAGCGAGTGAGACGCTATTTGTCAGAGAATGTTGACAGCAATAGAGTGAAGGGGAACAGCATTAACTTATGTCTCGGGCCCTGTTCTGGGTGCTTCTCAAACGATATTGCGATAATAAACATCGCACTTTGCTGACAAGGAAACAGGCTCATGGGGGTAAAACCACTCGTACAGGGTCACTGGCCAATAATGGCAGCGTTGGAGAGAGACCTTAGTTTGAGCTGAAAGCTGAGTCTTTCCACACGTGGCCTGCCACGCCGCCCAGAGTGCTCAGGTTGTGGGCAATTACTGTCCTTGAAAATGGTCTATCAACTAACCATTTAAGAATATAAACTGCCTTACCCACCTAAAGTAGGTGCACCTGCCCTCCATCAGAGCCTGGCATCCTTCCCTTTCTGGAACTTTCCACCTCTCCCTTCCCTCTTGTATTTGCTTCATGAAAACACTAAAACCTCATAATGAAATAAAACAACTGGCCTCACGACAAATAACAGCCCCTTCAACTGGCTTCTTTCTTCTCCAAATATTTCTTTAATATTGTGTGTTTGATTTCAAGACATTTCAACAACCCCCCTCAATGATCTTAACACTTTCCCTGAACTAGGAAAATAAGAAATAAAACACTCTACTGGGAAGAAAAGGAAAATTGTATGTTCTTTTGTTTACACGAGTGTACAGAAAATCGTTACAAATCTCCATGTGGCCTTGGTGATTTTCCATTGTGATATAGAAGGAGAAATGGATAAACTGGAATTTGCAACCAATCTCCAGGGATTTCTTTTCTATTTGGGTGACCCCTGAAAGGCTTCTGGGCACATAGCTATTTTTGAAAGAAAAGAGGAAACGCTGAGGGCTGACCACCATTAACAATAGTTCACCCAGATGCTAACTTATTCTACTGTTTGCTTGTGTTTATTTTTACTTAATCTGATGTTTTGATGCAATTGCTGGCATTTTGTTTTTGACCTTGAACCGGTATAATTTATCTTGGGCATGCGCAGAAAGGCAGTGACCAAGGTGCTGCCTATTTTCTTAAATTATGACCCAGCCACGTGACGTCAATCGAGTGAGGTCATCTGGGGTGGGGGTGGGGAGGAGGTACTGCTTTGATCTTAACTGTGTGATCATAATTCACCCCTAGGCTGTCTGGAATAGGAGCTTGCTTCCTTTCACCCAAGGCTCCCACCCAGAGGCCTTTACGTTTCGGGAAGATTTTGAGCCAAGTCCTGACCCAGGAATTCTGGATGCAAGATGTGCAGAGTCAGGATGAAACGGTGCTTTCCTAAAATTCTGCGCTATGTAAATTCTAGGAATAGTAGACGGAGCACTGGATTGGGAGTCAGTTCCTGTAGTTCTCCCATAAGCCCTGGGACGAAGGTTGTTGTTACACCCGTTTTATAGATGAAGGTACGGAGGCATGGAGAGTTGACCTGATTTGCCCAAGCCAGCACGCAGTGGAGCCCTGGGTTCGGGACAGGCTCCTCCCTCCGGAGGCTGCGATCCTAAGGACCAAGCACAGTGCATCTTCAGATCTGCTGTGTCACCTCGGTCTCTTCCCTCCCTTTCTGGGCCCCGCGTCCTCTTCTCTGAAATAAGGGGGCTTAGCTGAATGATGTCTAGGATCCTTTCCAACACCAACTACTAAAATGTTGTGATTTCCCCCAAAGTCCAGACGGGGAATTGTGGTCAAGTTTCCTCTTCCCAGAGTAAAGAGTGACAACGGTATGGATGAAGAGAAGTAGCATTTCACAATTGACTTCTCTGTCCTTATCTCTGTTCAGTCTGCACCATAATTTAACGAGGGAGGCGCTATTATTTTACAGATATGGGAACTGAAGTTCGGAGAGGGGCTGTGTTAACACAGCTGGGGCTGGTGGAGCCAGGATTAGCCTCCATGTTCTCATAGTACCTTGTTCCTCCCCCCATCATCTCGGGATTATCTGTGTCCACTCCAGACCATGGGTTTGGAGCGTCAGGGACCATGTTCTCTGTATCTCTAGGAGCCAGCACGGAGTCTGGCCCAAAGCAGATGGTCCATAAACAGTGTTGCCCCAAATAGATGGTCAATAAACAGTGTGGAATAAATGAATGAGCCCAACACTCCAGAGCCCGTTTCTCCACTGAGCTAACTGCACAGCTAACCTCCCACTCTGTGGGAGGGAAGAAAGTGGGTTTGGGGAGAGGACCTCAGAAAGAGATTTCAGTTATGGGATCAACAGCTTGGACTGAGTTGCCAGATGCCCGCCCTCCTTCACGAGCTGGGAAATGAGCTCAAAGCAGCAAAATGTTTTGCCGAAATGTTTTCTCAATGAACCCTTGGTGAACCAAGACAGTAACCTCAAATCCTTTCTCCTGCTGTCTGTATTGTAGTTAGAAAAGCTTACTCTTGAGTTTTACCCTTTTCTTTGTGCTTTTCAGTATTTTGAAAATTTTATATAATGATTTTAATTTTTTAAAGATTTTATTTATTTGAGAGAGAGGAGTATGGGGGGGAAGAGAAGAGGGAGAAGGAGAAGCAGACTCCCCGCTGAGCAGGGAGCCCCGTGTGGGGCTCGATCCCAAGACCCCAAGATCATGACCTGAGCCGAAGGCAGACACTTCACTGACTGAGCCACCCAGGCGCCCCATGATGATTTTTCAAAAGCAAAATAAATGTTTATTTTTTAATTTTAATTTTTTATTTTTTTAAAGATTTTATTCATTTATTTAATTGACAGAGAGAGAGACAGTGAGAGAGGGAACACAAGCAGGGTGAGGGGCAGAGGGAGAAGCAGGCCCCCCGCAGAGCAGGGAGCCCGATGCGGGGCTCGATCCCAGGACCCTGAGATCATGACCCGAGCCTGAGCCACCCAGGCGCCCCAAATGTTTATTTTTTTAAAGGTAGGATCAATAATGAGATTGGATCTTTTATTGTTCGGTGCTATGGAAAGTAGCAAAGTGTTTATTTGGGGGTATCATATAAGAATTGTGGCACTGAATTAAAGAGTACTTTTTTTAAAAAGGAACGAAAGCAGTATTCCATCTGGCAGGGCAAGTTGGAAAGCCTGCTGCTACCGCTGAGGCCCACAAGAGGGCGTCTCAGGGTCGTCAGGACGCAAAATTCAAGCCCGAGATCTACCTCCTCACCTGTAAATGGCCAAAGAACAGGTTCTGGAATCTCAGCAGTGACCCTGCTTCTCCAGCACTTTACATTTGACATTAGCCTCTTTCTCTTCCCCTTGTTATTAGAGCCTCACAGATCTCATCCTCCCAGCGATTTCCACTCCTGGGGGCATTTGTGGTTCTCTCTTTGCCTGGGCGTGAGTGAGTGAGTGAGCGAGCAAGCGAGCGTCTGGGGTGAGCAGAGACATAAACAGGCTGCTCTAAGTTGCACAGCTGGCTGTACATCTGGGAGTTCTTTCAGAAAGATACGGAGCTCCCACCCCCTTTTCAAAACTCTGGGTCTGCAACAACCATATTAAAGGCATTTTTTTTAACCAATCTTGTCAAAGTCAGCCTGGTTTTTCAGAGTAGGGGAGGGAAAAGCAAGGCACCATTTCTCCTGAAGAAGAGAGTCACAAGGGCCCGAGGTGGGAAAGTGGGGAGCATGTCTTCTGACACTGAGGAGGGAGGGACAGAGGGAGCCAATGTGGCTGAAACCCGTTAGAAGCACTTTGCATATGTCTCCCTTCTAGAACCCACAACAATCCTGGGAGGGAGCTGTCACTATCCCCATTTTACAGATGGAAACACTGAGGCTCAGAGAAGTTAACTCATCTGCCCAACATCACCCCCTCTCCCAGTTCTTTGGGGACACACAGAAGCTAGATTTTAACCCCAGAAGGGCCCAGGCTCTCCCAGCTCCACCCCTATCTCTACTGAGGCACAGACAGGCTTGGGAGTAACTTTCCAGAGAAGGGGAGGAAAACAGGCGTGGGTTAGGGCTCAGGCTCCAGACCCAGGAGGAAATGACCCAAGTGAGAATTCTAGCGGGCTACAGGGAAGCTCATCTCTGGTTCGGGCGTTCGGTGAGCCAGTGCATGAAATCTTTTATGTTTTCCCCCATTAATGCATTCTGTACTTACACTTCTCACTATAATTACTCTGCAGTAATTAACAAGGGAAAATAACACATCTGGGTCTATATGGCAACCCCAAACAGATGTACAAGAGGCGCAGGCGCATGCAGGTCCTTCCAGTTACTTGACAAATAGGTATTGAGCACCTACTAAGCACCAGCCTGTGGAGGTGCTGGGGGCCCTGGTGGTGAGCTGTCAGGGCAGGGTCCCTGGCAGAGGGGTGAGGGGCGGCCGATAGTCTCGTCAAAGAGGTCGGGGAAATGATAAGAGCTGTGAAGACCATAAAACAGGGGGACACGCGGCCAGATCAGCCTCTCCCTGGAGGTGACATCTGAGCCGAGGCCCGTGGAGTTCTGGGGAGAAGGTGCCAGGCTGGGGGAAGGGCAAGTGCCAAGGCTCCCGGTGGGAACCAGTTGATCATGTTTGGAGAAGGCCCAAAGGCCAGCGTGGCTGAAGCAGAGCCATGGGGCAGTGTGGGGTGGGAGAGGGGCCAGAGAAGGGGGCGGTCGAGACCCCGTGGAGCTGGGGAAGCCACCAGAAGGCAGTTGGATGCTACCTGAAGCACAACGGGAAGCCCACTAAGGGAGCTTTAAGCGGGGTCACAGCAGAATCTGAATGACATATTTTAAAAGGACCCCTGGCTGCTCTTTTCATCCGCACGGAGACTAATCTGTATGGGGGAGGCCAAGAGAGGAAGAGGGGAGACCGGTGGGAGGCTGTTGCCGAGGGAGGACAGGGCTCTGACCGGGAAGGGAGGGGCGGACAGAGAGGGGATGGATTTGGAGCTTGGTGCGGAGCTAGAGTCTAGGGGATTCTCTGATGGACTGAATGTGGGGGTGAGAAGCAGAGAGGAATGAAGGGACATTTCGTTACGGGTGTGACCTGTGGGAATCCACACACTCACGCCTGCACCACGGGCACCTTCGCTCCTTCAGCCACGCCGGCCGCCGGCTTTACACCCCCCCCCCCCACCGCCGGGCCCTGGGGGCGGAGCAGTGAGGGGCGGGCCTGCCCTCACACGTGACCTACCGCAGGTGTATGAAATGACAGACTGGGGTGCGGGCAAGGCGGGAGGTCTGGGGGGGGGTAACGAGCTGCTCTGATCCGGCCGCAGTCTGGAGGGAAAGCGGCTCCACTAAGATCTGAACAAGGGGGCGACTTTAACCAGGGGCAAGGGAAGAAAAGGGAACAGTATTTCAGGCAGAGGGAAGGGTATGTGTGGAGGTGTTTGAAGGGAGGCTCTCTGGGTGGAGTGGCGGGAACAGGGCAGGAGGGCGATGTGGGGCAGGCTGGGGCCATCCCTCATGGGCATGGCTAGGGCCAGCGTCTCCCCCTCCCACCCAACCCCGGGCAATGGGGAGCCACCCGTGGGGCTTGAACAGAGGAGCGCCCAGGACTCTGGTTGCTGAGTGGGCCGGACTGGAAGTGGCTGTGGGGACACAGAGGAGGAAGCTTGGGGCTGAGAATCCCACGGCACGGGGCTGCAGGTGAGACAGGGCCTGGAGTGAGCTTTCGTTTTCATTCTAGAAAAACAAGGTGCTGTGATACTTCTTGCACCTGGAGTTTCTGGAGTAAAAGTCACACCCACCATACACACATGTATGCATTTGGAAGGCTCCACACCAAAACCTTAGTGCTTTTTATCTCTGGGTGCTGAGGGTGTGGGGAGTTTTTTCTCTTCCTTTTGGTGTGTTTTTGCATTCCGTATGAAACATGGATTTCTTGTGTAATAACACACCCCAATAAACTCAAAAGAAAAACCCTTGCCTTGAAGACAATGGCCCAAAGATGTGCAAATTTCCTTACTGTCTCCTCTCCCTCCCCACCCCCTGCAAAGGAGCCCACCCTCCCTCCGCCCTTGGGCCTGGGAACTGGGTTTCTTTTTCTTTTTTAATTTTTTATTTATTTGCGAGAGAGAGAATGAGAGACAGAGAGCATGAGAGGGAGGAGGGTCAGAGGGAGAAGCAGACTCCCTGCTGAGCAGGGAGCCTGATGTGGGACTTGATTCCGGGACTCCAGGATCATGACCTGAGCTGAAGGCAGTCGCTTAACCAACTGAGCCACCCAGGCGCCCCTGGGAACTGGGTTTCTTAAGAGAACACAGGCGGCTCTGATTCCATGGACCAAGCCTTCCAGCCTGGCAGGGTCCTGGAGCTGGTTGGAGAGGCCACACTGTGAATCTCCTCCCTCCCCCACAGACCTGCCCAACCCCTACTCTGCCCACAGCAGGGAGGGGTCCTCAGCCATCTTTAATTTGCAATCACTGTGGGAGGCACTCCAGGTGGAGGGTAGAGCAGGTGCAAATGTTTGAGGTCAGGAGGCAAGGAACTCCTGAGGAAATTAGGAGACTGGAAAGAGTGATGCGTGGAGCTGGGCAGGGAGGAAAGGCCAAGGAGGTAGGACTAGATCTTGCAGACTCTTCTGGGAATGTGGGCTCTCCTGAAGGGCAGCAGGACTTGTGGTGGTGGTGGTCCCCGACACAGGTGAGGGAGCTCAGAGTCCTTGGGAACTTGGGGGCACTGAGGCTGGAAGCCAGGTCTCTGTGTGCCTGGGGAGCCCCTCCCGTCCCCCAGGCTTGCTCAGGCTCCTTCCTTTTCTTCCCCAACCTGTTCCACCAGTAGCAGGGCATTGGAGGTGGGCTGAGACACCCACAGACAAAGCCAACCCCTCCTATAGGGACAGAGGCAGGAGTTGAAAAGGAAAGTCTTTGAGGGTGGTGGGAAAACGGGGGTCCCCTTACAGGCAGAGACTGGGACAATCCGTCTTGGAACCTCTGCAGCTGCTGGGGATGGGGAGGAGAAGGGTAGGGAGGTGAAGGAGGAGGGAGAGAGGGCCTTGGGACTTGGCCCTGCACATCGATTACCGATGTAACTCTCTAGCCAGGCCTTGCGAGTCCCTGGGCCCCTCCTCCTGGGTCTCAGTTTCTCCTTCTGAGCAAGGTGGGACTGGACCAGGAGGCCTCCTGGAGTCCTTTCTGCTGGTTTTCTATCTCCCCCTTCCCCTGCTTCCTGGTCTGGTGGCTTTCTTACTCTTTGTGTGTGTTGGGGGGTGAGTGGCCAGGTAGAGTGAGAAATGCGGCTTATAGACACATGTGGGGGTTCGGGGAATCATGCTGGGTTCCGGAGCCGCCCACACGTGGCGGATCATCGCGCTTTCCTGCTTCCAGTAATTCTGTGCTGGTCCTCCAACCTTCTCCCTCTTCCCACCTCCCTCCGCCTCCTCCCTCAGCGCTCCCCTCTACTCCCCAACCCCCGCTGGCTTCTCTGGCCCGGAGGGAGCCTCTACAATTATCCCTCCTGCGCCGGGCTCCCTTAGGAACGCTCCCCGCGGGCGCTCGCCCTCGCCGCCGCAGGCAGGTGCCCTGGGGACGTCGCCAGGCTGCGCGGTGCGGCGCGGGCTCCGCTCGGGGGCCCCGAGGCCCGCGAACTGCCTAGTCAGCGCGGCCG